GTCGAACTGATAAGCTTCGACGATCCGCTTTGGAAGTCGAAGACCTACATTTTTTCAGAAAGCAACACTGCTACTAATAAGTTATGGACAAGAAGAAACACATCAGCTAACCGATGTATCTTGCAGAAAATATATCAAACTAAAATAAGGCCGAACACCTTTTCTCAATCGGCATCACAAATACGTGAGGGAACAAATACAAAAGACAAAGACAATCTTTGTTCAAAGTTTTCTAACAACTTACTGTCACAATGTTAACGCGCTAAAACATGCAGCTGTGGCTGCAGGTACCTTTAGCACGACTAACTGATATTTCTTTTAGTTAGTGATTTCGATCAGTCTATGAATTTTGAGGGCTGTTTGTCTTCAGACATCAAATCTAAGCTTGAACAATATTTTGACCTCAATGAAAGATACATTGATGAGATAATTATAGGTTTCAATACACTTCATAATTATTCACAATGCTAAAAACTTCTTTATGGTAATTATAGGTTTCAATACACTTCATGATTATTCACAATGCTAAAAACTTCCCTATGGCTGAAGGTCAGAATAGTAAAAAGAAACGAGAAAAATAACAATGTATTGTGTAACTGTGTGTTCTTCAAAGGTATATCACGTAGGGAAGATTTATGAACCATTCAAGGAGTTTTGAACATCGCCGAGTGTGTTTTTTGGCTTAATCTTTGTGGCCAATGTTTGAGCCTCGAACGTGAAATTTTGTGACAGAGATCTGGGTCTGGGTTCTCTGCCCAGATCTCCGCTTAGAAAACAAGGGAAAAATACGGCTAAGTAACATTATACGTGCGGTCAAAAAGAGAACCTGCCATCCTTGCTAGCTGAAACAGTCCAAATTTGGAAACAAATTGCTGAGCTGTACTAAAGGTAAACAGTAACAAGGAAGTTAATTCCTCTATAAAAGTACGCTAAGCAGTGAGTGAATTTCAAACCTGCAAGTCAGATCTAATCAAGTCGAAAAAGAAGGACTTCGCAATGTCAAGATTTTCTCTATCGGTTGCCTCTGCAATGTGCCTACTGGTATTCTTTACAGCATCAGTTCAGAGTAAGTTGTGTTACGCGAGTTTTGAAATCTCATTAACTTATAGAGTCAAAGTTTATATTTTAGATTCTTTTTAAAAGTTGATTAATGTCCAGAACTAGGTAAATGTCCGTCCCTGCATTAACGATTTAAGAATCTCAATCTTTTCAATAATCACGCACATGCGCACGAATAGGCTCTCAGGAAAATGAAAATGAAATCAGTTTTGGACCCATTGGTCCTGAACGGAGCTGTCGTTTACGAGGAAATTTTTAATTAGCTGTAGATAACATCAATGGATTCATTTGTATGGTTCTTTTCCAGCTTTCAAGCTTCCTGGTGCCGCCGACACTGCAAAGAGGCTCGAAGAAAATTTCGTAAAAGCTAAAACTAAACCTCCTCCAAGTGGTGCTGGATTTCGGGCATTGTTCCAAATACCCACTTCAAGAGAGGTTCACGATGTTGTCGTTCTCATGGATGGCTCGGGATCGGTTACGTCTTGTCAATTCGAGAAAGCAAAGAAGGCGCTTCGTTACCTATTAGCTGTGAAAAACATGTACGTGGACCTCAAGTATGCAGCGGTCACTTTCTCAAACTCAGCCACTGTGAATTTCAATTTTTTGCCGGACTATTTTGCAGCCGGTGAGATGAATAGAATCACTCGCCCAGGAGGGGGAACTAACACTTATGCTGCATTGGTGAAGGCCACGGAATTATTTGAAGATCCCTTGGCAGGTAAAACTTTCATATATATCGTAAAATTACCTCCTTCTCATATGAGAATGAGAGACAGAACTAGAGGAAAGTAAAGGAAATAGTGCTCTCTTCTGGTGTTAAGCACACAGTAAGCGGCTAAAGCAAGGAAGAAGCGTGGGGACAAACACGAGACGAAGTCGAGTGTTCCTCCGCACTTCTTTCAATTAACGAAAAAAAAGCTGGAGAGAAATCCGGGAAATGGTCGGACATAGCACAAATTGGCAGATGGCTGGACAGCTTCAGCTCAGCTCCTTGTCTTGTACTCTGATAGAGCAGGCTCATTCAGCAAATGACAGCGCGCGTTATATCCGAACTTTATCATAAAAGCAAGGGAAAAACCGGGGCTGCGCATATGTATTCCACATATGGTAATGCTGTCGAATGAAATCGTTAGCCTCCGTTTAAACTACGCAGATTATATTCTTAGTAAAGGAGTTTTGTATGAAGCTGCATGGGTTATTTTTATTCTTTCGTTCACCCTTAAATTAATTAGGGTTTTATTCCATGTTTTTAAGGCGGACGTCGTGATCCAGACAAGAGAATAGTTTTCCTCGTTACAGATGGAGGATCCAATTCCCCTTCTGAGACCATAGCAAAGGCCCTAGAACTAAAGGAAGATGGTGTAGAAGTTTTCGTCGTCGGCATTGGTAGCTACTTCAACGGAATAGATGAGATAAGGAAGGTGGCTTCAAGTCCACCGGAAGAGTTCTTTTACGTGGCTTCCGACCTTTGGGAGGTGGTGAAGCAAATTGTAAAGGATATCTCTCCCACACTGCTAGAAGCTATGAATGCTGAGTATGATCTTCCTTGTTAAATTAAAAAAAAGAAGATAAAAACCCTCCTTAAGTCTTTGAAAAATAGTTTTTAAGGAAACATTCATTGTTTAAACAAGTTGCCCGTAATTAGATGAAAATTTTCTTCACTCGCCAGTTTCGACAAAATCTATCTGAAAAAAACTCAAAGTTTGCATAAATGGAAACACTTTCCGACCATTTCAATTTTTCAATTTTCTGATACAGGCCATCTTTGCACGTCCTTTGTGATATGGCCGCCCAGTCTTATCATCATCAAATAAAACCTCTTGTGCTCGCAAGTTTCCCAAACGATAGCACGGATAATATTGGTAAACATAAGTAAGATCCAAAATTGATACACTCAGTGAAAATTATGTTTTTTCAAAACAGCTTATACTTGTTTCGTATTTTCTGCAAACGTTCTGCTTAGTTTATCTGTCAACGGAGCTTACAGAATATCTTCAACTAACACTAACCTTAAGCTTGTTTAGTAGGAGAGGTCTTCCCTCAGGAAATGTGTTCTTGCTGTCATTTTGGAAGTTTAGAATTTATAACTATATATATCAATTGACTTTTTCAATAAATTTGTATTTGTTAAGTGAAGAAGACACAATTTTCAATAAAATACTGCTTGTATTTTCTGCTCTGCCTAGTACGAATTTTGAGTATCTCGTTACATCTACTGTAGGTCAACTCGTAATTATGTCATAAAAAAAAAGCAGCGAAAATTAAAAACAGAGGAGAGGGGGTGATGGCTACCTTTTTGCCAAACGGGAAGGGGAGGGGAAGAGGTGAAGTAAAATGCGTAGCCCTTTCCTCTCTGATTTTTTCGAAACACTCTTTGAAGTGAACTAACCGACTTTTGATTACGAAACTTTCATGTTAATTTTTTTCTTTATCGCATAAACCATATAGATTGGGAGTGACTTAGGCAGAACTCAGTTGGAAGTAAATCCTTCGTTTCTGAATGGAATGTGTACTCTTCTATAGTATGACATTAATGGCTGGATATAGACGCATTTTCAACATATACATGACACGAATGCCTTAAATTTATCTTACGATTTTATTTAGGCTTCCTTGAGGTTAGGCTGAGTCTACCATCCATTGTTTCAGAGGCAGGTTTTTTTTTTTAGTGTCGCTGGAAATGTGGTTTAGTTCTGCATTTATTCGAACGGGACATTATGATGACTTGGAAATTTAACCGTTCAAAGAGCTTGGCCGATAACGTACTAAGCTGTCTTCCTGTGCGTGCTCGATATTGTCACACAAACACCCCCGATCATGTAAAAATAGCATCATGTCATATCATTTTCCACTTGCTAAATTGTCAGAAGTTCTCAATCATTTTCATATTAATTGGATGCTTACGAAGGAAACGAAAATTAGATAATGTTTCCTCTTCTGTTGAAAGAATTAGATCAATATGCCCAACAATTTCTAAACACGTAAAGATAGCTATTTCATTTAGAGGAAATAACTTGTAAGGATATTTTTGAACAGCCGCCGGATATATTTCCTAATAATTAAATGATTTGAAACAATATCACAAAAAATTGTTTGAATTTGTGATAAATATCAAGGAAGAAATCATGTCACCCTGTTGACTTAAATCAGTATTTTTTTCATGACTTTTTTAAACACATCTTGTCAGAGTGTCGTCCATGACAAGAGGAAGGAAATCAGCTGTTTATATATGTATGTATCTAACCCTCGTGTTTCACGATGATTTTTGGAAAAAAGATCACCAGCATGGTTACTCGCTGTACCCAGCTCGTCTTTGTCATTACGATTTTAACTCTCTATGTGAGATCTGTCGAAAATATTGAGTTATGCCAGAAAATGACGATCAAAAACTGTGCTTCTAATTTCCATGAAGTTTTTGAAGCCTTTGAGAGAAGGAACTCGAATCAACTGTTTCAAAACTGTGTAGAAGTGCAGGTATTTAATGAAAGAACAACAATTTTTTTGCATGTCGATTTTTCCGTATTGTAATGTATTAGATCTAGTTGACCCTGTTGATGTCCAAACTCAGTTTTTAGACGATTCCATGAAAACCTTAGATTTACATTAAGTTCTCACTAAATAAGCTAATCGAATAAGTGTTAATGAATTCTCATTAAAACATCCTTAATCCGACGAAACTCTTTTACTCACATTAAAAGTTCGAGGATCATATTTATAGGACAAGATTATGAAGAAGATTGCCAAAGAAAGTTTGAAAATGGTTAAACGTACGTCTCAACTTGTTTCGTCGTAGAAAGTTGTTGACTGCCTGTCTGTTCCCCGCTGTCCCGGTGACCTTCTTACTACGTTCCGTTCGCTCTTGATTACAACAGCGAGTTTGATGAAACAAAGCGGTTTGTGTCCAAGCTTGAATTATGCTGGGTTAAAGCGATACATAACAGGTAAAGTCTTTTTCAGCATTGTTAGTTTAGTCATTTAGGCCTGAGTAAGAGTAGGACACCTGAAAACACCGGGTATACTTGATTAAAGAACTTAACACTAGGGGATCATTGTGTTGTGTCCTTGGGGCAGACATTTCACTCGCACGGTGCCTCTTTCCAGCCAAGGGTATAAGTGGGTATTGGGTAACTGTAAAGGAAACTTGATAAGATGTTGAGGAACAGAGGCATAGCTAGGGGGAGGGGGTCCTAGAATGTTCGTGAACCCTCCCCCCTTCCTTCCCCCCTACCCCTTTGTATGCCCTATTTTTATCACATTAAGTAAAACACGGCGTGGAGGTCGACATGATAATTTGTTTAGTACCCTCTGTTTGACAATGTGACCCCCCTTTTTAAAAAAACCGATTCCTCCCTTAGGAGTAGACTAAAATCTTGTTTAGGAGGATTCGAGCATTACTCTTAGTCACCTCATTCTTTGTGAACCAGCAGTAAAGGAAAATCAGTTCCTTTAACAACATTTTATAGAAATCAGTGAGTGACGACCAAGAAGATGTGGAAGAAGTGGAAGCAAAAGTACATTTTATGTCGCGCAGAATCTTAGAAGAGAACAGGAGACATAAACTTTTCTCATCGCTTTTGGATGAAAACACATTTTACTCAGTGCAAAACTGAATGAAAAGTTTGTCATAACTTTGAGGAAAATTGGCGTTCACTTATAACTTGATTTAGACTGAACCACAGTTTCCTTCACTGATCTACTGTATCACTTGTCTTGGAATGAATTTTTAGGTAATACAATGATTTGTCATAAAAACGGCCCATGGTTTGATGAATGTGAACGTCAATGTTTGTGTTACAATGGCGAACTTTTATTCTGTCATCGGATCAGAAAAGACTTTACAGCTATGACCCTCGAGGAACGAAGGAGATTCACAAACGTTCTCAAAACCGCTGCGACAAACCCTATTTACAAAGATGAGTACAGAAGGATCTGCAATGTTCATGCACGGATGCCGACCAAACTACTCCATCACATGCCTCAGATCTTTCTACCCTGGCACAGATGGTATTTGCTGGAGTTTGAAAACATCCTTCGTCAAGTTGACTGTAGGGTTACAGTTCCCTATTGGGACTGGAGTAAGGACGAAAAACACTGGGCCCGAGAAACGGAGGCAAACGATGTTTGGAATCTAGGTCCTCACGGTTTGGGGGGTGACGGTACTTTGTCTGATGATTGTGTCAGAGACGGGCCTTTTAAGAAAGATGCTTTCTTTATACCTGAAGATATTGGACAAGGCTGTTTACAAAGACGTTTTAACATTTCATGTTTCCTTCCAGGCGAAGACGTGATTCAAAAAATAACAAAGGATGCAAATTTTACTGCGTTTGAAAAGTTTGTTCGGGAAAAAGTGCATCCTGCTTTTCACGACTGTGTTGGTGGCCATATGTTAAAACATCACTCGGCTTCGTTCTCTCCGGAGTTCTGGATTCATCACAGCTTCATAGATAAACTCTGGGCAGATTGGCAGATGAACGGAGCCAGTCACACGTTTGAGTATTTCATCAACATAACCTTTGAGATGCCTTTGAGCGGACGGTTTTCATGGGAACTGTTAGATAATCATAACTTACCCGGTGGAGTTAAAATCCTCTATGAGAATCCAGGGGATTCCACTCTTAATTCAAGGCTGAACAGTTTTGTTTAAAAGTTACACACCTTTGTGGCTGTGTCTGATTGATGTGATAAGTTTCAAGTTTACCATGAAGAAAATGGACTTGTTATCTCAGAGGGAAAGATATATTTTCGCTTGTTGTCATGGACTGATTCAGTTATCCAACAAACTTGTTGCTTTCATGTAAATTCTTTTACAAGCGATGGAAATGATTCCATTCCTTACTTTCTTTCTTTATATTCCATATGTTTCATAGACAACATATATTTTATCCATCAACTGCAAAGGAGAGATCAGTTCAGTCACTTATGTTTCTTGCTCAAGACAATCCTTAACAAGCGGGAAATTCGAATATTTTAACCTGGCAATTTTCAGCTTTTTGCTATGAACAAAACCTCATTTAGGAAAACTCATAAAATTGTTTAACGGTAGTATTTATAAGTACATACCATTAAAATCAACCGGGGAAGATCATGGTAATCGTTGAAAAATGAATGAATCTGATTTTTACCTTCTCAAGAAATTGTACAGTTGGCGAGTGTGTGAATCATCTTTCCACCCTTTTCTCCTCTACAATTTTATATCAGTTCTTCGCAGCGACATTTACTAATGAAAGTCAGTAACACTACAGTCATTCAGATTATTGGTAACCAAAATGAATAGGCGGCTTACTATTGGTCGATTGTCCATTAAAAATTGTTATCCTCAGTTGGAAGATGGGAAATCGAATCGCAGCTTCTATTCCAAAGAGGTTACTGATGGCCTAAATCCATTATTTTTAGGCCAATGATATTTGCGTGGCGAGTCAAGCAAGAGTTCACCTCGATCAAATAGTCACTTCACCACCTGCAGATAGGGTACACTTGATATAATTGTTCACGGTGTGAGAGTGATATCGATAAAACAAACCAATAAAACGAACAAGTACCTGTTAAATAGATTTGCATGTGGTAATTAAAAGATGTAATTGGATGGTTTGATGACCTGATCAGATTACAACAAGAGACTACTTTGCACAACTGATTGGCAAACGATTTTTGTTAAGCATTTGCCAATGGAAAAAAAATCGGGGTTCATTTTTGATTGGGTTTTACAACACTCCAAAAAAGAGGCAATTTTAATCAATACTGCCAGATCAGCGGACGAAATCAAAGGAAAATAATCCAGTTCTGTGTTGCTTTGATTGTTCGTTTCAAACTTTTACAGACCTCTCTGTCTTCCTTTTTTTTTAGTTTATGCAAAGGAAAAGGATAAGCAAAGTAAAAATAAAAATGAAAATATAAACGAAACTGTTGTAGTTTGAATATAGTCATACATGTTTCTTGTGGTAATGCTGAAAGACGAAACAGTCACATCACCGCTCACAAGTGTACGTGATCCATTTTGGAACCCGCTGCCATCGTGTAAGCCATGGTGTGATAATAAGAGTTCAGTATTAGGGTCACCCAACCAGATAGTTTGCTTGTCGCCTTGGTTCGGATTCTTTAGCGTAAACATATCATTTGTCATATTATCATGGTGATTTTGGAAGGCGAAAGGACAGCAGGGTCCACAGAAAGAGGATATAATTTCTATCTCTCCTTTGAAAAATAAGACGCACGTTGCTGTAACCATTTTGAATATGTCTTTTCATCGATAACACAATGAAAGTGTCCGGAAATAAATTCCAGATTATCATTCCGTAAAGACCAATTGGGAGAAATGACGATTTTAATTTACCCTGGGTTGTTTTAAGTGAGAATTTGCCTTCCTACTGACTTTTAGTGCAGTCTTACAATAACATATCCGAGTCTCCAGCAGTAATTCATTTTTTGATTCAGTTTGAATTAATTTTGCCAAAATACAAATTTCTAGTTTTCGCACCCCATAAGTAAGTGATTTATGCCGTTCGAGGCCAAGCTAATACATTCTCTTTACCTGTTGAGTTGAAAGTTCGTAAAGATCTTGTCAAAAACAAGATCTCACGAATTTACACTGGAGAGAATGATTAACATTTGCAGCTGCCTCATTGTGATTTGCTAAGGTCGGCAATCGCCTGCGGTTTTTTATTTATTATTTTTTTTTGTATTGATCGGAATTTTAAATTGCATAAACATCTCAATCCTTTTCACCCTTATGTTACGGTGCATATTCCCCATACGATTTTCCGTACATTTGCTTAGGTGCTGTCGAGGAGAATTTGTTGAACAATCAAGAACTTCTTTAGTTGGGGATCATTTTCCCTATTCTCTGACCTTAATGTATGATTCAGGGCTGATATTGTAAGGAGAAATTACCAGTAGAAGCTGGTCGCTCTAAGGAGTCAAGGTGTTAAAAGAAATAAGAGGAACGAATTTCATCATTACATGTCGTTAGCCAGCTTTGATCACAACCTTCCCATTAGCTTCCGGACATTGACACTATCAATTCCACTGTCTTTGATCAACAATCATGTTTGGTTTAGTGCACATTTTCCTTGTGCTGTTCACGCTATTTGGCAGAAGTTTTTTTTCGTCGTCACAAAAAATAGAAACTTGTGCAGGTGTGGTTATTCAGCAGTGTTCAGATCATTCCCAGAGGTTGTTAAAAGCTGTAGAAAGTGGAAACCAAAACATTCGGGAAAAGGATTGTAAAGATCTTCAGGTAAGTCGCTCATGCTTTTAAACTTCTCCTCGCCTGGAGAACTTTTCTAACTAAGAGAACATCACCTGGGAGTGATTGATCTTGTTGTGCCTAGTTCAACTTTATCGCGAGATATCCTCGAAACTGAATGTTCAGTTTTTCTCTGCTTTACTGAGTTAACCCTAAATTCCATACTCGGTTCGGGCTTTATTTAACAAAATTTGAACGCGAACATTTCTGACATCAGCTCTCATGTTAACACTAGTTTTCTGTATAAATTTTCCCCGGCTTACTTATTTTTCCTTTGAATTACCTTCAAGGTATCTGTGTTGCCCTATTCAATTCATATTGATTTCTTTTCATATTCCACAGGCTACAATTGATTGCCTCTCTGTTCCTCGTTGTCTTGGCAACCTATTATCAACTTTTCGTTACTATGTTCTAGTGACAGCATTGAGTCTTTCTCAGGCGTGTCCCCATCTGGATATCACAACACTGCGAGGCTACGTGGCAGGTCAACTCATTATAATCAATTCAGTTTATTAATATGACTAGAAATAACATTTTCTGGACGATCAATGAGCTGACTTTTTTATAAGTTTTATTAATTTTAGTTTTCGTCAATCGCTCTGACGAAGGGCTAACGCTCGAAACGTCAGCTATTTTACCTTTACGGTGGTTAATTTACGTTTTCAACTCAGTCGTTAACACTAAATTACCTGTTATACTCTTCCACCGAAGCAGCACCACAGTTTCTTTAGAAACTTACCTCCTTTATCAATAAGTCAGTAAGTCGGTCTATCAGTCGGCAGAGCGTATGCCATTCAATTATTCGTTATCAAAAGTCTGTATCAGTACATCAACCAATCAGTAAGTCAGTTATTACGTCAGTCACCCGCTAAGTGAACAGGTACACCCGAAGTCTTAAATAAGGTAACGATATACGTGCAGGCCAATCATATCACCGATTAAAGGGAATTTCAACTGTCAAATGAACTACAAAACCGAGTAAAGAAGATTTCACCTTCCTTTGCTCTTAGGTATCAAGATGCCTTGCGAGAAAAACAGATCAACTGTTGACCAGTGTCACAGGAAGTGTCGCTGTCATGATGGAGACCTTGTGTCTTGTTACAGAGTACGAAAACAATTTACTGCCATGAGCCCAACAGAGCGACAGCGCTTTATTAACGCTTTCAAACTAGGTTCTTCTAGCCCTCAATACCAAACCTATTATGAGGATATAGCCACGCTGCATTCAAAAATACCAAGCAAATTTCTTCATCACATGCCTCAAATATTTCTTCCCTGGCATAGATGGTATTTGATGCAGTTTGAAAACTTTCTTCGTCAAATTGATTGTCGTATAACAATTCCTTTCTGGGACTGGACCGGAGAGTCAGAACACTGGACACAAGCGACAGTTTGGAGCCCAGGACCCGACGGTCTTGGGGGTAATGGTATAGCACCAAATAACTGCGTTATGAATGGTCCATTCCAACAAAAAGAATTCCAATTGCCTTGGTCTGCTGGTGGAGGCTGCATTAAAAGAGAATTTAACTTTTCTTGCTTTTTACCGAACTTGCAAAAAGTACGTGATCTTATCCAGCTTGAGAATTTTACTCTCTTCGAACATACAGTTCGTGAGCAATTCCACACGACATTCCATGACTGTGTTGGAGGCAACATGGCTCATCATTCCAAGGCTTCTTTTTCTCCGGAATTTTGGCTTCTTCACAGTTTTCTTGATAAACTTTGGACCGATTGGCAGAAGAAGGGAGTGGCTTTCCAGTTCCAGTATTACACCGAAATCACTTTTACAATGCCAGGTTCTGGACAGTTCCCCTGGGAGTTTCTTGATCAAGATAATCTACCAGGAGGTGTACGAATTGTGTATGAAAACTCACCACCGTAAAGGTGGGAGGTGTGTACACACCAAAGGAGTCATACTTATTTTCAGATCTAAGTAACCCATTCACTTCTATTTTTTCAAATTTTATTCCTGTTGGTTGGTCTGTCTTGAAAAAGCAACTTTATTCCCATTTCCTTGAGGGTGCTCGAAGGCTCCTCCTTTACAACTGTTATGGTTTACAGGCGCCAAGCCTGGTATGTCCGTGATTGTTCTAGTTCCGCTTTCAGTAATATCTCTTAGTCACGACCATCATTTATTGTTCGAAAGTATCTTCGAGATGCTGACAACCCAAGAAGACCACTAGACAAATTGACTAAATCGGTTCTAATTTTCCTTCGGTCAAAAAAATAAAAACCGACACAAAGGCTTTGAAAGAAAGAATCAGACCACATTATGCTTTCGAGAGTAAAATTCACCTTTAAGTTAAATGTAAGGGAACATGAAACATTTCTTGAAAACGTGAAAACAAATAGCCTTTACCGAATGAGGAATTTGTGTTTGGGTGCTGATGGATCCATCTATAGTCAGCCTCAATAGCTGGTGGTTTCAATTTTCAAAGACCATTTTGAAGAAGGGAGATAAATTTTTGGATGACCAAATGTATATGAAAATATGGTATAAAAATAAATTAGCCCCAATCCCCAATTTTTTTGTAGACAAAATATCAAATTCAATATACAACAGCAAAAACCCACGAATGAAAATTGAGAGTTCGATTTCAGGAGTACACAGCACATGCCCCCTCTAAAGTACAGATTTTTCCTTTCCACTCCTAATCAAGAAGCCCAAGCTCAAATCCCAGGTGGAGTCACTTGTTCAATGCTGTGATTCTGGGTAAGACTTCTTTGTCTTCCAGTACTTCTCTTCACCTTCAGTAAGGGGTGGGTAACAGACTAGCATCCTTCTCAATAGAGATTAAAATATTCCTTGTAGCAGAATGCCACCTAAACGAGGAATAAAGCAGATCCATGATTTTTTTTTCCAGTTGTTTGTTTGTTTGCTTGGTTTGATATCAGGAAGTGCAAGGTTGTGTTGTTGAAAAGACAACTGTGTTTTCTCTCAGCAATACCTGAGTGAAGATTGAAATGTGACATAGCACAGGCAAGAATGCAATTACGAAAAGGGAAAGCTGAGATACCATCACAAATCAGCTCCACTACTAATTCCAGTGGTGTGAGTTTGAGCTCTGGCCTGGGTTTTGTTTTGTGTTGTGTTGTGTTCAAGAGTGAGATGCTTTACTCTCACAGAACTTCTCTTGCACAGGAGTATTAAATGGGTACTGGAAAACTGTGGAGGAAACCAGCAAAAATGCTCCAGGGTTACCTGTGATTGACAAACCTTCCACCCATGTAACATGCCATACTGCCCTTTATGCAACAGAAACCACAAAGATCAGCCCCAACAGTTATAAGTATAGGCCAGGTGGCCCTTAGGACTAAAAAGGTAAGTGGAGGGACTGAACTGAAAATTACTCCAAAGTATGACAACCCAACATTAATGTCAAAATTACATTCGTTTTGGGTTCAAGCACTTTATTTGGACATTTGCTCTGACAGATTTGAGAGAAAGCAAATTTGTATGTACAATATCAGATGACAAAAGTCAGTCTTCTTTTTCAGACATTTTTTTTTTGGTTGACAAGAAACAACCAGTTCCAAGTTTTGATTACAACTGATTCTCTTATCAACACCATTCATTTGCTCCACACTTCACATCACAATATTTACACCCACTCAATGACAACACTTGATCTTAGACAATGTGCATCTGCATAATCTATCAGACAACAGTCCCTAAAATAACAATTGCAGCTAGCCATTAAATGTCCATCTCAAACTGGGTGGGTACATCTCCTGCAAAATAGAGGTAAAAATAGAACAATGATTCTTATTCTGCTGTTGTTTGTTTGATATAATATCACCCCTGAACCACTCATTAAGCTCATGGCAAGAAATAAAATGATCACCAACTAATGAAGCTCTTGACTGTTAAACAAATTCTCCTTGTCGGCACCTTAGGAAATGTATGCAGAACAGTATGGAGAACATTTATACTGATATTAGAATACAACAAGTCAACAAATTTCTGGGAAGGCTCAGAGGAACTGGGCTTTCCTTTTTTCCTTTCATTCTTTCCTTTTTGTAAAGTATTATTTTTCCGAGTGAAGCAAGTTTTATGACTAGGTATTGTATACATATGCTGCACTGGGGTTATCTATGGCACCTTGCATTAACACAACACACCTTACAGCAGTTTTAAGTGCTTCTGCAGCTTAAACATATAAAAATAGATTACCAGCTACCTGAAATTCCATTGGTTCATTGAATATCAAACTTATTGATTAGGTTTGCATGTTAAAATTTACCTTAATTTGTTTGCATTGTTCACTATGAGATGAAAAAAATTAACAGCTAGAGCCAGCTATTTAGTAAACAGAATTAGGCATGCGTTTCCTTACCATGATCATTCTTATCATTCTCTCTTTCAGAGCCATGTACACCGTTGTCTTTGCGAACCCCTGGCTTCAACTTTGCATCACAAGTTACACCTGGTATCATTGGCAGATTCTGTGGAGGCGTACGTGACAAAGGAGAATTGCGCAATTCCAGCAGAAACTTGCGCTCATATATTATACGTGTCCCTATAATATAAACAAGGTATTACTTAATGTAAACTTAAACACCACAAAGGATGAGATAAAAAATAACAGACTGACACCATTCACACAACAACAAGGCTCACCATTTTAAATAAAAATAACCCTACCTGAGCTTTAGAGCATTTTTTAAATTTTCTGGGGAACTTCAAAATTGTTTTACAAAAAATCAAAACAAAGCTGTTGGCCACCCAACTCAAAAAATGAATTAGGAAGCAGTGTTAGAACTTCATTTCAACAAGTAAAGCGCAGTAGTTTATTTAAGCTTATGTGTAAGTGTAATATGTCAATATTAAAAGTTGATCTGTTCACAGAAGTTGCCCACTTCTCTATAATAATTCTAAATATATGTAACAATGAGAAATACTACCAAATATATATTTTTGTGAACACATCATGCCACCTCCTGATAAAAAGTTTAGTTAAGAGTTAAAACAGAACCATCACTTAGCCAATTGTTACCAACAATTTCCCATTGCACTGGTTCACAGCTGGTTCCAAGACATGCATTAGGCAAGTTATTAGCCAAAGATTTCAAAATACATTTGAAATTCCTCCAAAATTAAAAATGCCAGACCTTAAGGACAGTGAATATCAAGATAACTAACAACTGACCTAAGCTCAATGACAAATTCATGATGCTATCAAAAGCTTTCACTTTAATACTGTTCTGCTCCCTAACCCCAAAAGTTCGCAACATAAGGCTTCCACAATTACAAAGACAACACAAAAAGTGATTGAGGCTGAGTGATGTTAGCCAAGCACACAATGCAAACTAGGTAGCAATTTCAATTTTTGCATGTTTCACCGGCAAACACAGCACAATCTGACCAAACTTGTTACTTTCTTTATAGCAAGCCAAAGTTAAGATGAAAGAAGGCAAAGCCTGGAACCATAAAATAGGCATATCATACGAGATGATTACAACTTATGGAAAACAGAACTTATGGAAAATACACAGACACTGACCAAAACAAGAAAAATTATTCAAAACAAGCTGTGAAGTAAGAATAGACATTTTGTGTGAAGTACTGGGCTAGGTTGTTTAAAAGGGGAAAAAAGATTTAAAGCTAACCTTGACTTCAATTTTTTATGTAGATGAGCATGTATAAGGGCTAAAATTTTATTGGGGTTTATCTCAGTATGACTCGAGACTAACGGGAAAAAACAAAAAAGAAAAATCCCTTTGCAAAGCCATTAAACTTAATTAAAAATTTACTGTAACCCGGGTAAGGTTAATCGTGTTTTGAACCCAGTCTCAAGAATGATCAAAGCGAAACTTACTATGCTTTTCATTGTTTGCAGACAAGGGAATTTGATCCATTTTAGATTAAATCAAAGTAGCTTTGAAATGCAAATTAGATACGGAACCTTGAACTCCTGCAAAACACGTGGATATTGTTTACATCACCAAAACAAAAAGACGAGTCTCATACAATGCGAGCCACGGCAGAGCACGTCCAAACATAAACACAGGCCTAGAGAAACGTTTTGAAAAGTTTCTTCAGTTCAAAGAACGAAAAATTAACCTTGAGACGAAGGGTTTTTCTGATCAATCAGTCCAGACTGTTTTGCAATGATATAAGTACGACTTAGGAAAGTCACAAGAGAGTTATGACGACATCACAACACACAACACCAAGCATTTACTTTTGTTTTCCGATTTCCTCCCTTACGTGAGAGAATAATATCATGCAGTAAAAAGAAACCTCTGAAGGTTAGGTATTCGAAGTAAAAAATTTCAATACACCGGCAAATTTGCTTAAAAATTTATCGAGCTTAAGCCCATCAGAAAAAACGAGTGTGAACGATGAACGATGAAGGTTGGTTGGGCAACGCAAGCACTTTTCGTTGTACAAGTACACCTACTGTACACTCTCGAAGCAAACACGGTTTAATGATTTACAGAACAAACACGTATCGATAAGGAAAGAAAAAAATCTCAACGCTCTCCACATCTGGGGCAGCAAAACAACCAAATTTCCCATACGGATTGAGCAAACTAAAACGCTTGCGTTGCAGTTGCATGTCCACAAATTCCCAACTACGCAGTTAAAAATCGAGGTGTCTATGAGCTCAAAACAAACTCAGAGCCGAAGGCTGTAATTAAAAACTTGGGGCATTTAGTTCGTAATCGGTCTTCACAGTGTAATCTTGCTCAATTCTGCATTAAAACATCCAAAACAACGCACAAACTTACCGCCGGGAGTCGTAGAGAATATGGTTCCACCAGGAGTAGTGGAATAATCCATCGGTAGCTGACCTGGGTCGTTGACGACAATTCGTCTGGAAGGAATTGCTCTGGATTCAGAGGACAATACTTCAGTTTTTGATGCGTCCATTGTGCGATGTTTTAGTCTTATATTGTCTGAATTCCCTTCGTTCTAATGCACTCTCCCGCAAAATGACTTTGCCTGTCCTTTTCAAACCTTCCAGCGGGTCACGAGATGTTCTTGCGCATGTTCAATACTCCAATTGCGTCATCTTTTCGTGAATCACGTGTTTCCGTCACAAACCCAGCTCAAAAAATCCCCAAATACACGTACTATTTTTAGGAAGTCTTCTCGACTTCCTTGTGGCGCATGCGATAACTTTAAATTTAAAACCCTCCTAGGATAGTATGAAAAGACACCTTTTACAAGAATGTCAGCTGTTGATCAGATAAAAATTAAAAAATAGGCCTACCAAACAGTCCGTGCAACGCGACACATCACGCTCTTTAATGAACATACGGAAGTCGATTGAAATGTCAGTACGGTTTAAAATGGAAATTTATGCTTCCGGATATATCCAGTAATAGCGACCACAGAAGACAGTATGACTCTCAGTCGAAAATTGACAAAATAAGTTTACAGAATCGATGGATACTGTCATTAAAAAGTGCACTGCTGCGAAAAAAAGGGCAACAAATATGATTTCATGTACTAGAAGTTTCTAATGCTCCAACATTTATCTCCAGGAGTGACAGCTGGATCGGATCACAACTGAATTTGAAAGTGAAAGTCTCAAAAATAATTTCCCTAAAAATGTCTTCGTCAGCAGATACGTCTGGTCTGGAGTCATAATCCTCTCTTTCTTTCATTTTCACAACATTCCCTATTTTTGTTCACCACCATATGCCCATACTTAGACCGACAATTTCTATGACACCTCATGCTCCAGCTTGTAGAGAAAGTTTTATTCGGGATCGCGGGACTAAAAAATCCTATTTAAGGACCCTCAGTCAACGCTACGCAAGCACTTTGCGACAGCGATTCAACTGTGTATACATGATTCGTAATAGAAGGCCCGTTGTATTGTTATCTTGTGCTCAGGATTAAAGGACTTTAGGGAACTCACTGAAAGAAGTATTTCTGATTTGTTTCGACTGAGCTATAGAAAAGCAAATTTTCATGGGTAAACATTTAAAAACGGAACCAGACTTACACCCTCCTTTTAATGTTTACTTATGAAAAGGTGAATCAACGACAACATGGGCTTCATCCCACATTCTATTTCTCTAAGCTTTTCATTCGATCGCTCTAATAGCTGCCACTCAATGATTATAGCGACTGGTACGACTGCAGTGGTTATCCATTCGAAAATCTGTCTCAATTAGGAGGTTACGGGAGTTAAAGATTAACGGCTGACTTTATAATATTTGCAATTTTCGAAGTCCATCTGGCTTTGAATAACGTCTTCATAACATTGTCTAAATCATGTTACAAGGATTTAAACCAGTCAAAGACTAAAACGACTCTGTTTTACATGTTGATGAGAAGACTAGATGCTCCCAGATTTCTGTCAAATCCTCGTGTAAGGCAACACCGGAAACGGTTCTAGACAGAAGTCAGACAGGGCATAACAACTAAATTGGTACTCCCTAACCTATGCAAACCTCCCTTTCTCACAAACATAACCAAGCAAATAAGTCTTAAGCTTTATTACCAGTCATAAAGCAGTATTTTGCATGATAAAGGTTAACTATTTCCACCTCCTTTTGCAGCTTAAAAGTTCATCAAGATAGCTTTGAAAAAGTTATTTTTACATTCTATTATGTTTGAGATCTATGGCAACTTATGTCTATTACTTTCAAGTTTCGGGTTACATAAAGTAAAGGGTGAAAAAAAAGAAAAGTGAGAGTTGATGGGCAAAAACCTTTCGCAATACATGTCCATTCGACTCTCGCCCTGCGGACATCTCGCTACGGAAACCCCGCCATTGCGGACAAGAGCCAGTCTCCCAGCGTTATTATTGACTCGCTATTAAGGAATGGAGACACTTCTATGTATTTCGCGATAGCGGACACTTAAGGGCTTCATCAAAAATCCTGACTTACATGATATAAAGCGACATAACGATAAAGGAAAATAAAGAAACGATTTTTCAAGTGGATGCGATCATGAGAATTTCCTGCTTGCGACCGGATCTTTTTCCAGTTCGTAAGGCCATATTAGAAACTTTATGTTTGCGTAGTTGCATGTTATTTCATATGATTGGAAACAAAACAATTTATTGTTCTCTCGTACCCTGCTATTACGGGCTCTCGCTATTACGGACACTAAATCTCCCGGCCCCCCTAGGGTTGGTTTTAAAGACAGTACGTCCTTCACAGCGGTCCCAATGCGTGACATGCCATTGTACTGGTGAAGCGGCAAGTAATTGTAACTTGCCGCGGAAGTTGAATAAATTCAAGAACCTGAAAGATCATGTTTCAGGTGACCAAAAAGCAATTTTCTGGTCAAATAACACCGATAATCAAGTTTTGACCAAAGACGTGATGATCCAGGTGTGACAGGGAAGCAAAGCGAATTTAAGAAACCTCTGTAAAACGAAAATATGCATTATAACCTAGAGGCAGTATACCTTTGAAACCGGCTCATAAATTCTTTTTACGATAAGGAGCCTAGTTAATGATTTAATGCAAAAAGCTGACCATGAACGAAAGAGATAAAGAGAATAAACAAAGGTAAAGAATATGAAGCTATACAGTTATAGTTTTCAGGTTAGACAAACCGGTAACCTGCCGAAATCTAACATTAGTGGGTTGCCTCACGTTTTTCCTTAAAGGTTGAAAGTGTCTTAGTATTCTAAGCACTTGTCGTTTGAGGTCGCGTATTCTCCAACAATAGACAATAGGATTTAGCGTCGAGTTAAGGAGTATAAGGATATATGCGAAACTTATAACTAGAAAGGAGGAACTGCTGAGACCCACGAAGAAAATTAACATCTGCGCCAACAAGTATGGCATATAACAAATCGATATAACGCAGTAAATTAAAAACATGTTTTTAACAGTCTTTTTATAGGCTAGGATGCTAAAAATATTTCTGCGGTTTGTCCTGAGCCGACTCTGTTGTTGAATCTGAGCTGTTTGTCTACGCAATCCAAAGAATATCCTCAGATAGAAGTATAAAGTTGTTGTTGTACAGAGTACCGTTGAGAAAGCTCCCACAATGCGATTAATGTTCCTACCGAGCGTCCACGACACGGCAAAGAAGATCCCTGTGCCCCACAATGAAGACAGCAATACAACAATTCTTCTCAGGGTAACTAATTGCCGATATCTAATTCTGAGGCGAAATGCGAGATATCTGTCCAGGGCGATTGCAGGAGATGTTAAAGTTGAAACTGAAGCCATTATGAAACCAGCCATAGTGGTAGGCTGATACAGTGCACAATACTGTAGTGGGTCTTCTTGGATCACACCCAGAGTAAGGTCGAAGTGTAGTGGGGCTACTATTATTCCGACACCAAGATCAGAGAATGCCAAACTGCTGAGCAGAGCTTTGGAGGGAGAACGTATGGACTGACTCTTTTTTAGTGCAATTAAGATCAGGGTATTTCCAAGCGTTGCGGAAAAGAAGATTATAGCGTCAATAAAGCACATTAAGATAAATAAATCTTTTGAGAATTCTTGTAAAAATGAATAGTGTAGTAGATGAAATGTAGAACAGTCGAGTGTTGCGTTCATTTTCGCTCTGAAGAAGACTGAAAAAGTGAATTCTACAAACTTACAAAAGCAATTACGGCTAAAAACTAAATTACAGGTGTGACTTCAAAACGGAAATTTCTTGTAAATTTCTTACAAAGCAAAAGGAAGTTTGAAATTAAACAATGAAAATGCTAATCGAGGCGCGCAATAAAGGCTTTGTTATTGTATTGTTTAAACTAAATATCTAATTTTACACGTTTCATTGAGCGAGGACAGAAATTTCTACAATTATCGAACTTGTTTTCGTATAAAGCTCGCACCAACTGGTAGAAATAAAAACACAACTGAGTATTTAAAAGGCGGTGATTTTGTTGGTCTATACTGAATAAAAGGTAACAGTGTCATTGACAAAAGTGTTCTCGAATTTCTCAATTTCCCGCACTTAAAAAACGCAAAGCTAAAGGATGTTTATATTATGGGCCTGTCGGTCCAGAGGATGTTTTTCAATATTAGCCTCTAGGGAAACAGACATTGAACTCGGCTAAATGAATGATTCACCAAACATTTTCCCTCGCATTCGGTTTATTTAATTACTAAAAAATTTAATGAGAACATCTTAAATTACAGAAAACTTAACTTGTCAGCCAAAGTTGCCGCCAAAAGTCAGACTAACCCGAATGGCGTTTCCATTTTAACCTGTTTTCCACATTTATTACACCCACTGATATAACATTTTGATGTAAAGGACAGACGCATGAAAAAAAAAAAAAAAAAAAAAAAAAAAGAAGACGTTATCAAGCGTTGGGCCAGGAAAACCTAATAATGATGATGATTTCGTTGACCTTGATCCGAGCGTCAGTAGATAAACATGCTGATCATTTTTTTATCGAAAAAAGTCAACATCACAGATTCCTGTTTTGTAATTTATTTCAATCCATAGGAACATCGAGAGCTTTGCAGGATATCATGATATCATGCATGAGCAGTACTTTTTAATTAAAGGTCTATCTCGTTGGACCAGACGTGCGCCTCACATAAAGTATTCATCGTAACTGCAAGTCGACTGCTGAGGAAGTAGTCTTTCCTTTCCAATCGTATTTCAAAATAACTTCATAAAGAAATATTCAGTTCCACTACCACTGATTTTAAGTGTACTGAAGAAACCTGTATGAACTCATAATTGTTACTTTCGAATACCCTGATGACTTCATTCTAGGAATGAAGTAATTAAGGGTCGACTGATAAGCTGTTACAACCTGACTCGTAACAAGTCGCAACTCGTCTCGTAGTCGAATTGAGATGCGGGCGAAGTGGGCCGGAGGCGCCTCTATTTCGGATCACATTCTCCTTTCCAAAAGAAGTACTTAAAAATATCATAAATGTATATAAATTCACATTCAGGCTTTGTGCACTCTTTGCGTTAATCGATTTACTTTTGATTTACTATCTTGAAGGTGAACATTTTTTGTCAAAATTAAGCGATCAAAAAAAAGTTCACCTCGCTTATTAAAGAGTATAAGGCCATCGTACCGGTTGAG